CAGATAACAGCAAATTGGGGAGGGCAGCAAAACCCCAGTCAGCATGCTTCAAAAGACCCTAAGCAATATGGAGAGGGCCAGAGACCTCCAGGACACACGAGTCTGAAAGAAACCAGAAACATGACAAGAGATAGAAATAAAAAAAAAAAAAACCCTCCAGTTGCTGAACCTGGTAAAATAAGCCCAGGAGAAGTAATACAGAAGAGAACCAGTGCAGTAACCATCCAATACTAGACAAAGCATCAGCGGACATAAAGAAATACCTTCATGACCTCATAGATGAATTTAAAACCGTACTTCTGATCCAAGTGAGGCAAGATATAAAAAGATTAATTAAAGAAATGATAAGCCCCTCCCAAGAGAACACAGATGGAAGAATGGAGAAAATCAGAAAAGAAATAAAACCTTTGATGAAGAATTTAAACATAACCTAGAATACATGAAACAGATCCAAAGAGATTACCAGATTAAATACTCCATTGAAAACTGGCAAAATGCCTTGACAGAAACTAAAGTTAGCCTTTTGAAACTTGAAGGGATATTTATGATATATGATTGTGAAAGAAAAGACCTCTTAAAAATAATGAGGAACCAGGAAGAAACCATTCAAAGGCTAGAAGACAACAAAAGGATCTATAACTTAAGAATAAAACATGTGAGTGAAGAAGCAGGAGTAACCAAAAATGAACTACAAAGACTATTCACAGATATAGTAAAGGAAAGCTTCCTAAGCATAGGAAAAAGAAATGATATCCAGATAAATGAGGCATACAGAACTCTAGCCACCTACAATCAAAACAAATCTACACCCAGACATATAATAATCAAGATTCCAGAAATCTACCAAAAGAACAAAATACTAAAAGCAGCCAGGGAAAAGAAGCAGATAACCTACAATGGGAAACTTATCAAAATAACAACAGACTTATCAACACAAACTCTCAAATCAAGAAGAGCCTGGGGGGAAATAGTCCAAGCCCTGAAAGAAAATAATCTGCAACCAACACTGATGTATTCAGAAAAACTCTCTCTCAAAATTAATGGAGAGATAAGATGTTTCCAAGACAAGGAGGAACTGAGGGTGTTCACAGCCACCAACACAACCCTACAAAAAATACTGAAGGACATTCCAGAGAGAGAGAGAGGAAAAAAATACCAGGATTCCAGCAACAGTGGCAGAGAGGCCTAAATGAAAGGGGCAGACAGTGGAATGAAGGAGTAAAGTGGACAAATTATAGCAGAAAAATAGAATAGCAGACATGAGGCAGAGACGGTAAGCTATAATCTTTAATATAGATAGCCTTGATACACTTTAAAAAAAAAGAAACAGGCAGAGTAGATTAGGAGGCAGGTTCCATTGAGATGCTCTGAATTTACTCAACCTGAAATAGGGTCAATAAAATGAAAGTCAAAGATGAAAAAGCAATGCTATATGTGACAGGAAACTGGAGAGAAATAGGGACAACTCATCCAGCAGCCGCAGACGGACTGGAAAGCTATGACACTTTTGGGCAGTGTAGAACTACACAACTCGAAGGAAGGAAAACCCTATGACTTTAGTAAGTAAAGGAGTACAGCTCAAGATCAAGCTCACGGGTAAAAAGGTTTAGCAACACTCAGATAGATAACAGACTGGCCCCCTAAACTAAAAACTAAAGGAGCTAGTGGGACCCAAAACATACAAAGCATCCTGAGAAGGGGAAAGGTGAAAAATAGCCTAAAAAAGGAAGGCAGAGGTCATTGTTAATAGTGTATTAGGATTTAAAAGTCACAGTAGTCTTATCGCTCTGTTTAGTTTGATTTTATTTTGTTCTGGTCTGTCCACTCATATCAGATTTGAGGGCACAGACCTCTAACCCCAAAATAGCAGGTTATACTATGGTAACTATCCACAATTTCCTGTTAACTTAAACTGAAACCATGTATTACTTACATTGTCTTACTATGACTGATCTTATTTAAGCTGGTTTGTTAGACCGTGGTTTTGTCTTGGCTGACTTTATTCGAATTTGGTATGCCTGATAGTATCAAGTCTAAGAGTAGAGGCAACTACTCTGAAGATGACAAGATGTAAAAGATATCCATACCAGTTTTGATTATTAACCACTTTCAAGTCCTACAATGTCTTTAAAGTTGTGTTTTTATAAAAATAGCTATGTAATGCTATGCTTAACTATATTAAGTCTGATGTGGACAAGTCTATTGAAAATAACAAGAGAAAGCATAGTAACTACAGTAGATCACCTAATATTGTGGTCTTATGTGTCTTTTTCATTGCATGTTTTTCTAGGAATTTGTTTTGTTGTCTTGTTATGATCTGTTTTTCCCTATAATATAGAGAGGATAGATATACATGTAGAAATTCACACATGGGAATAATTTTTTAAACTATTTAATGGAACAGATTATATAATGCGTGATGTAATGAACAGATACTCTGAAGAAGAGATAGTAAGAAACCCAATGCTAATTCTGTAACATTATGATATAAAATCTAGCAATACTATTACTCACTGTTCAGAGTGATATTAGTCTAGTCTCTTATGTCCAATTTCAGCATACGTAAAGATAAGGACAGCTACTATGAAGAAAATGAGTGACATTTTGGTAGTCATTATTGACTTCCCCAATGTCAGGTCTTGAAAACCTAAAATGCCTTCATCATCCTGTAATGATTTGGTTAATTCTATAATATGCAGTATGTATTCAATGTGTGTGAAAATGGGAACAACTATTTGGAAGAAAACTAGAGACAATAAGATAGACAGTGAAGATCTCCAGTGAACTTGCTTTGAAATCCATATTTCTTTAAATTGTTTTGTTCTGTTTTGGTATGTTTAATCTTTTACTCTTTAAGATAAAAAACAAGTGTGTAGGACTGATAACCATATTACTAAGTATTTGTTGGATCATTGAGCAGAACTGTTGGCAGTGTCACTATTTGAATACACTTTGTATGCTTTAATTTTATAACCTGAACAATTATTTCTAAGATGACAATGTGTAACTTATCAACCAGTGATTTCCTTCTGTTTATTTTTCTGTAATTCTGTATTATTTCTATCCTTTTTTGTTTTTTCTCTTTAAATAAAAAAGAACTATTCAATTCATTAATTCTTTGTATTGTTTTCTTAGCCTCAATCACATTAATTTCTGCTTTGATCTTCATAATATCCTCACTTCTATGAGCTTGGCCTTTACTTGCTCTTCTTTTTCTAGAAGCTTGAGGTGTAGCATCAAGTTGTTTGTGCTTGTTCTGTTTTCCTCATGTGAGAATTCACTGCTAATTTCCTTCTGAGGACTGCTTTCATTGTGTCCCACAGATCCTGGTATGTTGTGTCTACATTTTGTTTATTTTTTGTTTAGTTTCATCCATGGCCCATTGATTGTTCAACTTCCATATGTTTGTGTAGTGTTTGCAGTTTCTTTTGCCATTAATTTCTAATTTCAGTACACTGTGGTTAGATAATATGCATGGGAGAATTTAAATTCCTTTGCATTTACTTAAGCCAGGTCTACAGGCTAATATATGGTCTATTTTAGAGAACATTCCATATGAATTTGAGAATATGTATTCTGATGTTGGGAGAAATACCCTGTAAACATCCACTAAGTTCATTTGTTCACAGGTTTGATTCACTTCTGTGATTTCTTTGCTTTTTGTCTAGTTGATCTCATTGTGACAATTGGGCATTAAGGCTTTCCATTACAATTACTGTGCATTTGATTTTTCATGTATATTAATATTTGTCTTACATAGTTCATTGCTCCCATATTTGGTGCATATATATTTATGATTGTTATCAATTTCTCTTGAAATGTTCTCCTAACAAGTATATAGTGACCTTCTTTATCTCTTTTGATCATTTTTGGTTTGACGGTCACATTGTTTGCAAACAGAATAGCTTCTCCTTTTTCCTGGATTTCTGTTGCATGGACTATTGTTTTCCATTCTTTGACTTTTAGTGTATGAGTTTCTTTTTGAGTTAAATGTATTTCTCGTATACAACATAATGTTGAATCTTGTTTCTTGATCCATTCTGCCAGTGTTTGATTGGTGAATTGAGGCCATTTAAATTGATGGTTAAAACTCATATGTATTGCCTTATCTTTGTCACATTATTTTCCTTTGTTGGTTCCCTGCTTTCCCCCACTGTTTAACTGCTTGCCCTGCTTCGTGGTTTGTTTCTGTTGTTCATCTGGGAATTGTGGCCATTTTTATGTCTATCTAGAATATCTTTCAGTACTTTTTATAGGGTTGGTTTGGTGGACATGAATTTCTTCAGTTGTTCTTTGTCATGGAGTCTTTTATTTCTCCATTAATTATGAAAGATAATTTTTCAGGATACATCAATCGGGTTGGAAATCATTTGTTCAGGACTTGAACTACTGCACTCCAAATTCTTCTTGAGAGCTGTGTGGAAAAAGTCAGCCATATTCTAATGGTTTTCTATGATATGTGATGTTTTCTCTAACAGGTTTTAATATTCTGTTGTTGTGCTGAATTTCTAGGATTTTATTGTTTTGGTGTAGATTTTGGTTATGGCTGTTTGGAATTATATATGCCTCACTTATCTGTACATCAGATTCTGTTCCCAGGCTTGGGAAATTTTGTGCTATTACTTCTGCAATTTTTTTTTTTTATGTCAATACTATTGATTTCTCCTTTTTCACTTAAACTTATCAAACATGTTATTTTTCTTTTCATCATCCTGGAACTGCTGAATTGTTATTTCATGGTCCCTTGTTATTTTTAAGAGATCTCTGTTTTCATGATCACTAGTAGTGATTCTGTTTTTAAGGTCTGAAACAACAAAATCCCTGCAAGTACTAGTAATTAGGTTCATTACTGAATAAAATTAGGTATGTCAGATGTGGTATACTCCTGTACTCCGAGCGCTCGAGAGGCTGAGGCAGGAGGAATGCTGTGAGTTTGAGCCAACCTAAGCTCCATCACATGCTGTTTCACAAAAAAAAAAAAAACCCTCAAAAACAGCTAATATTCTCAAAAACAGCCTTTTATTAGAAATAATTTCATACTAAAATTTTTTCATGCCAGTCAATTCCCTTTACACAATACAAAAGAGAAATTACTATTCCTCCTCCATTCAATTTTGTAACTACTTATTACCTTTCACAGCATTAATACCAGCTAAAATTTATATGATGTAGGGCATTGAGAGCTGTTTATATTTTTTTTTTTGAGACAGGTCTCACTATATAGTTTAGATTGGCCTTGAACTTACTATGTAGCTTAGGCTGGCCTTGAACTCATGGAGATCCTCCTGCCTCAGACTCCCAAGTGCTAGGATTACAGATGTGCATCACCACATCTCACTTGCTCTTTCTACTCATATTTCAAGCTTTTGCTTTTCCAGGGAGAAGTTAACATACAAATTTATGTTGACACTTGAGATGTAAAAGAACTTCCTAAAGAGATCTAAAGGAGCATATGGCAGGTGAAGGGACACCCTATTACATCTTACTGAATAACTTTATCAGTTTACAGGACACCTGCCATAGTGACTGATAGTCATAGTGACTGATAAATGATACAGTATATTTGCCTCCTAAATGGACTTGGGGGACAACCTAGGGCATTTAGGACATACTTCAAGGCAAATAGCTAGAGTAACTTTGTTTATTCTTAGGAAATGAAATAAAAATGCTCTCACTTGGGCATGGAAGTATTTTTAGGGAACTCTTTGCAGGACATCAAATAGAAAATTGAAAATTTCAAAAATGATGTAGGTCTTCTACTGTCTACTACTCTAGCAAAGTTCAGTACTGCAGGGATCAGATGCTTTTACAACATCTTGCTGAGATTTTGTTGTTTCAGCTGGAATTAGTTCATTAGAACAGTACAAAAGAAATTTACAGCACAAAAATCACTAGCAAGTAACTCCTTAGCACAGTGTTTCTCTCATGCAGTGTGGTATGTAATGTTACTGGAAACTATTAACAGGTTTAGCATCCACTGTTTCAAATACTTGAGAAAACCCAAATGGATGGCATAACTGTATGTAATTTATAAATTTATAATATGAGTAACTGAGACAGAAGAATGAGTTAAGTGAACTTAGTTCACAATCCAGCATTTGAATCTCAATTTTGCTTTGTTGTTAGCCTATACATTATGTTAGTAACTCTCTTTAGGTAATAAAAATGCTTCCATGCAAAAGAACAGATCAAAAAAAAAAAAAAATGCTACCTATTAGTGCTAGTAAAGAAACATTAAGAAGTGTTGGCTTTTGAGTATAAAAGTTATATGTATATGTATATATGTGTACCTAAGAACTATGCTGCAGATAAAGCTATGATATGTTCTGCCCTTCACAGTTAGGTAAACTACCTAAATGGAAGATTTCTTAGTAAGTGAAAATTATTTGTTTTTTTGAGGTGCTAGAGACTGAACCCAGGGCCTGGTCCATGCTAGGCAAGCATTTTACCACTGAGCTACACCTCTCAGCCAAAGACTACTTATATTTAGTCAAATAAATATTCTGGCATGTGAATTACATGCACGTGTGGCACACACACACAGGACAAGTTCCTCAGTATTTTGACTGATATAATGATTATACTACCATTTGTTTTCAAATTCAATCCGTGGGACTACGGTAGCAGTAGGGTCTCTCAAATTCAGAGTGAAAGACACCTGACTATACAGTGCCAACTCTGAGCACCAGAAAGACTCAAAACTGCCCAGATGAATGACATTACAATCAGAGTCTGCCAATTTAGTTCTAGGGAATCATACTATTTTTGTCAAATGGAAAAAATTCAGCTTATGCCAAATAGATTTAAAAACTTAATTCTCTTTTAAAAAATTGTTAGAAGTACATTTTACAATCTTATATAAAATAAAAATAATTGGCTTATAGTAAAATATTTAAAGTTTCAAAGATGTGAAAAAGAAAAATGAACTGAAAATATAGTTTATATAAATCAAGGCTTCACAAATAAAAATGGAAAGGGTAGTCTCTTAGAGAAAGGAATGGTGAAACTCCATGTATATTCTAATACACCCAAAAACTTGTTTTGTGGACAGTAGATACTGACTAGGAATTCTAAACTGCCATTTGATACCTTTAATCAACACTAAACTCTCAGGCAAGACACTGAAAGGACAAATGAAAAGACAGTAACTTCCTTCCTTAATAGGCAGTCTCCAGGCATCACTCATAAGTTCAATTACTTGATGGGTTGGGAAGCAGTATCCACTGAGTTTTCCTTTCTGGTGTGAAGAGACTCACTGCTGATGGATAATAATTCTCGGAGTTCTTTATTTTCAAGCTGAAAAAGAAAACAACCCCCAAATCTGAATATACTTTATTCCTGTTTTTTACTGTCAAACTGTCAGACCACACTGTTTTGGGCCAGGAACAGAAAATAGATTTATTTATTTAGAGACAGGGCTTCACATGTGTAGTTGAGGTTGGTTTTAAATTCACTACATAGCCCAAGCTGGCCTTGAACTTGTAGCAATCTTCCTGCCTCAGACTCCCAAGTGGTGGCATTACAGATGTGGGCCACCATGTTCAGCAGGAAAACAATTTCAATTTAGAAGTTTCAAGGAAAAGCAAACAAACAAAAACCCCCACAAAATACCTGTTGAGAATTTTCTAGGCTATGCATTTAATTAATTAATTAAATATTTACTAATTTCTAAATACTGTATTTTCCCCCAAATAAGACCTAACCAGAAAATAAACCATACCATGATTTTTCAGGATGCTCATAATAAAAAGATCTACCTCCAAAACAGCCTCAGTTAAGATCCTCCTGGCTGGAGGCTGGATTATAACTTGCCAGTGCCTACCTGGTAAGCATGAGGCTGTGAGTTTGATTCCTGGTACTCAAAAGAGAGAGAGATTCTTCTGGCTGAGCATGGTGGTACAACCTGTAATCCCAGAATTTGAGTAGCTGAGGTGGGAGGATTGCTGTGAGTTCAAGGTCAATCTGCACTATAAAGTAAGACCCTATTTCAACTGCACTAGGTCAATCTGCACTATAAAGTAAGACCCTATTTCAACTGCTTCCCTTGAAAAAGACTGTCAGACAGATGTATTTAGCATGCCTGTTGCAACACACACTAGACATACTGAATTATAAAATAATATTAATACATAAATATAAATAGAAATACTAACAATGCTTAAATGATAAATTATAATTACTAGTAAATAGTCAAATGGGATGTCTTTGGATGAGAGGTAAACACATATGTTAACAGATGAACTTGAGATTTACTGCTGAACGACTAATTGTAGGACAGACACAGTGCACAAATGACACGTGCACTTGATAACAAATGGACATGGTTGTGCCTAATATGAATTTTCATAATTCAACGCATTGTATGTTTTAGTGACTCATTACAAGCAGGCTATGTGGACAGGAAGTGCTCATTTAAGGAGTGCTCTGTTGCTGGACATGAGATACTGGTGCTAATGGATCTAACGGGAAATGGAGTCATTAGAAATTCAGGCCAAAATTCAGGGTTTGGAGTTAGGACAATGTCCCAGAAGAAAAGGATTTGACTATACTTGGATAAATGTAAATTTCTGTACACAAATAAATGTGGATTTTGTACGTGGATACAGGAAGAAAAACAGATTGTTGGACATGAATAAAAGTAGATTGTTGTACATAAAAAAAATATGACATCCCCTAAAAATAAGTACTATTACAACTCTTTTGGAACAAAAATTGTATGTGACCCAGTCTTATTTGGGGGGAAATATTGTACCAAGTGTTAGGACTACAAAGAAAAAATACAAGTCCTGGCCATTCTGTTCTTGCTTGCATGGAGGTCACCTCATGCGGTAAGATGTACTTCTACTACTTTTAGCTGGTCTAATTCACTCTTTGTGGAGCCTGTTTCTTTTCCCACCTTTAATAAAACTTTTTGCTACCATTAAAAAAAAAATACAAGTCTTTATTACTTTAGCAACTTACTGTTTGTGATTAAAGTCCCATGGGTTTTACTATTATTTCTTCTATTTTTCAAATTCTTAATAATATTTTCCTCTTACTGGGTTGGGGATTTAGCTCAGTGGTGTAAGTGCCTGCCTGCAAGCGCAAGGTTGAGTTCGATCACCAGGACAAAAAACAAAAAACAAAAAAAAAAAAAACAAAAAAACAAAAAAAAACATATATATATATATATATATATATTCTTTTCCTCTTGATTAATTTCTTTTCCTAGGTATTTCACAGCTTTACAGAATGGCTAAAAAATGAGAAGAGTCAGGCATGGTGGTATACTCCTGTCATCCTAGCATTTGGGAGGCTGAAGCAGGAAGACTGCATCAAGTTTAAGGCCAACCTGGGCTACATGGCAAGACCTCATGGTAACCCCCAACCTCATCCCCCAAATGGAAAGAAAGGAAACTACTTACTGAGCTAAGTACAAAAGGGTGTGTAACCTATGTTATCTTATAGAATTTGCAGTGTATCATAATCTATATCCATATTTAAAATGGGGATATGGTTGCTCACTAAACTCCAAAAACTTGTCCACCTCCAGACAACTCAGGGAACTTGGGTGTAGCTCAGTGGCACAGCACTTGCTTAGTATGTTCAAGGCCTGCGGTTCAATTCCTAATACTAAAAAATATATATATATACACACACATATACACACATGTTATGTGTAACAAGTTGGATGTGGTGTTACTGGAGTTCTGAATCTAATAGCTTATACTTTTTCTACTTCTTAGTAAGTTGAACTTATCCCACGTTTCCTAAATCTCAGATAAGTTTACCCTAACTCCTAATTCCTACTGGGAACCCACCACTCACTTTGATTTCCAGATAGGGTAGTTTATTCTCTTCTTACTCTTTAAAGAAAATTCTTGTAAATCACAGCATTTCCAGCTTCACTGAAAGATCAAGCCCATGATCAACCTATCTACCATATAAAGTGCTTCCCCTATAATAAATACTACTCTTGCTTTTTCCACTAAACTTTGGTCAGGGACCTTTTTTTCCTTTTTTTCCTCTGGTATTTCTCAAGGGGTCTGTGACAGTTATAACAAGCATTTAAGTGATCTACTAAAATGTTTTCCCTTAAATAAAAAAACTTATTGAGGGAGGGCTTTATTTTTTTGGGATCTCACTATGTCTTGCAAGCTGCCCTAAACTCTGTATGTATTGTAGGGTGGTCTCAAACTCCTGACCCACCAGTCTTAGCCTACTGAGTACTGGAATTACAGGCATACGCTGTCTCATCTAGCTCCCCTCACATTTTATGGACGTATTATTACTTTAGGCCTTTCTTATTTTATATACCCCTATTTTAATCAAAGTAGTACATGAAAATAGTCTTTAAAGAATCAGAACTATAATACTAATAAAGTGAACAGCAGTTCCTTGGCTTTTTTCCGTTATCACTATTTATGTGCTCTGTCATTTATTTTCATAATTCTAAATATGCTTATATTGCTATTTCCTGGTCATCCGTTTTAGGCATTATCTACTATGGCAGAAAAGAGACATCAGCCTACATATAACCTCCTCCTTTCTACACTCTCTATCCTTCAATATGATAATATCTCAACTTCCAGCTAATACATAATTGATCTTTTCACTGACTGCTATTCACTACTTTTCCTTTCATGAAAAGGTTATAAAGGACGACTTTTTTTTTTTTTTGTTTGAGACAAGTCCTTGCTATGTAGTTCAGGCTAGCCTTGAGCTTGTTATGTAGCCCAGCCTGTCCTGGAATTCACAGTGATCCTCTTGCTTCAGCCTCTCTAGTGGTGCACATGTCTGGCTAACATGCCTGGCTGAAGGAGGAATTTTAATTTGAAATCAGGAGTATATAAAAATCATTGATATATTGCAGTGGTAGGATGGTGATAGCATGCCTTCTGATTTTTTGAGAAACTGTGAACCTAAAATAGCAACATTCTTACCTCTAATTGGGCTAGTTTTTCCTGAATCTTACAAAATTGGTCATCATCCACCTGAACTGCTTTTCTCATCACTTCTCCCATTTCACAGATTCTGTCAATTTGACTTTCAATTTCCTTTGGAAAAGAAAAAGAGTGAGAAAATAATCTTAGCTGCAGATATGAAATGTATAATACACAGTATAATTCTTCAAAGTTAATTTAGCTAGGTTAGATTTTTGTGTGGGGGGGTGAGACAGGGTCTCACTATGCCGTTCAGGCTGGCCCCAAACTTGTGGCAATCCACTTGCCCCAGCATCCCAAGTGCTGGTAATCTAGGCATGCACCACCATGCCTGGCTCTTCAAAATTAATTGTAAAAACCTGTTACCCTTGAAAGAAGAAACCTGTAGTAGGGAAAAAAGTTCAAGTTATAGTTACCGCATAGAACACTATCATCTTGAGCCATAAAAAGTGAGCCTGTGACACTCATAAATAATTTTCATTTTTGAAAGGTCAACTGTAGCTGGCAATAGTGGTATATACATATAATCTCAGAGTTCTGCGAGGCTAAGGCACAAATTCAAGCTCAGCCTGTATAATTTAGCAATTTAGAGAGTCCATATATCAAAATTTAAAGTTGGCCTTAAAGTTTAAAGGCTGGCCTTAAACTCACTTTGTAGCCCAGGCTGGCCTTGAACTCGAAGCAATCCTCTTGCCTTGGCCTCCTAAGTACTAGGATTACAAGCATGTGCCACTATACTGGTCCAAAACAGGATTTTTAAAAAGGCTGGGTGTGTAGTTCAGCCTAAAGGTTTTGGATTCAATATCCAGTACAAAAACAAAAGACAAACTCTAATCTAATCACTGATTAGATGTTGGACAACCTTCCTTCCTTTTTCTGCAGGTCTGAGGATTGAACCAAGGGCTTTCACAGTGAGCTACATCCCTATCTGCTTTCTATCTTTCAAGACACTATCTTGCTAAATTGCCCAGGGTAGGCTTGCAATTCTACTTGTACCTCCTGCAGTGCTGGGATAAGAGGTGTACAGCACCATACTGCGATGGACAATATTTTTAGGCATTTAATTTAATTTGAATATATTTATTGGCAATAAGCTTACCATACCACATGATGCTTTATCTTTGTATATATCTCTTAGAACTTATTTTTATGAGTTAAATGCTTGTCTTCAAATGTTGTCTTCTGTACTACAGAAAATAAAATTTATTTTTCTCTTTCAGATGAATCAAATTTTAAAACATCCCTGTTCTTTAAAACTTTTAAGTCAGTAAAGTACATCTGACAGAACCTAAGATTATTCTTCACTACATTTCACTGTTAAAAATAATGAGGCTCCACTGTACTAATCCAGGATTAAATAATATATGTAAATGTACAATGACAACTATAAAGTGTTCAGCAAAAAGAATGACAAGGTCTCTCAAATTAAATCATAAGCAACCAATGTACAGAAACTATGGTTTTTTTTTTTTTCACATAGAGTTTTGGTAAGTTGCCACATAGCCCTAGAACTTGTGATCTTCCTGCTTCAACTGTCAAAAAGCTGGTATTATTTGTGTGCACTATTATGTCTGGCTTAAGCTTTTTCTCTCCTAATAGTTAAAAAAATTTTTTTTGTATCATTTTACTTATTTTTTAATTAAACTTTTTTGATTGATTGATTGATAAGGTTAGGATAAAATGTTAATTCATGCTCCTAAGAATCAACAAATATATAGTTCAATAATATATAAGTAATAAACAACCAAGTGCTTACTGCACACAACATTAACTGGCATTATATTTAAATAGGAGAAGAGCTAAATATTCATTAACATCTTTTTTTTTTTATCGGTACCAGAGATCGAACTCATGACTGCCTGCTTGCAAGGTAGGTGCTTATGCCTTGAGCTAAATCTCCAGCCCCTCATCAACATCTTGAAAAGAGATCTTGATGAGGGAAGGAGAAACCATAGAGCCATTTGAAAGGGCCTGAGTCCTTCACCTTTTCTTTTTATTCATATCTTTACAAAGCTATAGCAAAGTAAACAGTGAGTGGAAAACAAGCTTATTTTTCTCCAAAAACGAAAACAATCAAAATTTCATTCTATTTATTTAGAATTTATATATCAGAGTTTCTTACTGCAGAGTGAGACTGATGAGCTTTCAGGACTGGTTCAGCATCCACTGTTTTTTTAGCAACCATTAACTGTAACATCTGTTTCCGGTATTTGCTCATGATGAGTTCCAAAGCATCCTGGTGTTCCTCCAAGGAAACCCACAGCTCTAATAAAAAAATGAAATACTTTGGTGTGATCTGAAACATAGATCTCAAAGCCAAACTCTTGAACAGTTAGAATTCTATGATATTCCACAAGATCCTACAAATCTAAAGTTGTAAATCAGGGTTAAAGTGTTCAAATCAACCCTAGTGTGGTAGCACACAACTGTAAACCCAGTACCCAGGAGACTGAGGGAGGATTACTGTAAGTCTGAGGCCAGCCTAGCCTACAAAGTGAAATGCTATCTAAAACCAAAAAACCAAGCCAAACCAAACCAAACCAAACTGTAAGGCCTACACAAAAAACAACTTTCTAGACAGAGGTAGCATATAGTCCAGTAGAAATTATATAGGATGTATGATCAAAAGATATGAATTTGAGTTCAGTTCTGTGACTTGATTAATATTCATAATCATTAAACCTCTCTGAGACTATGTAAGTACTTGATTGGTTTACCTCAAAATGAAAATATGAAAATATAGTGAAAGAATAATGTGAAACCCCTCTGGAAACTGATATACAATTATTATGTTTCTATCATTAATACTGTGCTCATCAAGCCTTGATGAGCCTAATGTGTTCTTCTACCCTGCACATACAATTTTCAATCTTCAGTTTTTATTTTAATTAATATTTAAACATTAAACTTTAAGACTTTGGGATTATGAATGTTTTTGCTTTTTTGATACAGGGTCTCACTATGTAGCCCACGGTGGCCTTATCTCATAGCAATCCTCTAGCTTCAGACTTCCAAATCCTGGGATTACAGGCGTGGGTTACCATGCCTCGCCTGAATTCTTTTTAGTACACATCTGAGTCTGGCATGCCTAAATAAGCCATCTGATAATTTAACCCTACTAAGCCCCTGTTTGATTAGTTGCATATATATCTCAGAATCGGATGACTGTAAAAAAGGTAATCGGACAAACCCTCTTATCAAAAGCACTGACCTGGAAATAGGTATAGATGTGCACTTAAGACGTATTAAGATAGTTTTATAAGAGTCGTAGGCTAAGCGACTAAAAAAAAAGTCATAAACACACAAAAGATCTGACTAACCTCTGTTTTCCTGTTGCAAGTCTCTAATTTGTGTGTTCTCTTGGGACAGCAGAATGTGAGGTTTATGTTTGGTCATCTCCTTCACGTCGGATGCATCTTCTTGATGCTGGACAAATAGAGACAGACTAAACATGCTGTAAACAGAACAGCGACCTGAAGAGGTAGGAGTCAGAACTCCAGGGCAGGATTCTCAGCCCGATCCTGCAAAAAGTTCTTGGCACTGCTCCCCCAATATAGGAAATAAACCCCAGGTTGAGATTCTACTTGACCCCGTTCTGCTGTCTTCAAACTCTTAACAACCCCTACCCTCTACCTGACCTGGTCCGGAAGCGCAGTCCCGGTCTCCCGCATGGCTGCTACCCGTCGGTGCAGCGCCGCAGACTGATCCACCAGCGACTCAGCGGCCGCATCGTGTTCCCGCAGCCTCTCCAGCAGGGTCTTGGCGTCTGTCAAGATCTTCTCGATCGTGCAGGTCATAGCAGTTGGAGGATCACAGCCTCTGATCTAGTCACCTAGGCGATTAGGTCAAACGTTCCCCTGGTCTTAGCTATGTATGCGTCACTTCCGGCAAAATCAAAAGGCGCCTGGCCGCTTGGATCTGCGCCTGCGCGGTGGTAGCCTCGCCCCGGGATTGACCTGTTTTAACCTTTGGTGTTCCTTTCGCGTAGCCTACGACTCGTTTTGGCAGGCCCTCAATTCCTTTTCTCTGGGTTAAACTATTACGTCTGGTCCACCCTAAATTCTCTTTTCCTTGCGGTTTTGGGTGGTGTGACTTTTTGTTCTTGCAGTTCTGAGTGTTGAAAAACTCAGGGGCTTGCATGCTAGCAGAGTGCTCAAACGCTGAGCTCCAGCCTCAGCCCTGTGTCCTTTGGTTTTCATAGTTTTTTCTTCTTTTTCTTGGTTTAATTTTTAAATATTGTAGTTAGATAACATGTTATCTTGACCTCCTCTCTCCTTCCAGTGCTTAGGAATCCAAATCAAGATCTCATGCAGGTGACTTTATTTATTTTAAGGTAATAGAAATTGAACTTAGGGCCTTTGCACAGAGTTGCATCCACATCCCTTTTTAGATTTTATTTTGAGACAGGATTAAATCCCTGGCCCAGCTTCCCAGAATGCTGGGATTATAGGAGAGTGCCACTACACCCAGCTAACAATTTTGTACAGTAGTATTAGGCACATTCAAACTGTACATCTATCACCAGATTCCATCTCCCAAACTTCATTTTGTAAAACTGAAACTCTCTACCTATAATATCTTTCCTACCCTGAGCTACAGATAACTACTGTTCTTTCTAATGAATCTCACTAAGTATCCTGTGAGAATGTTTATCTCTTTGGGACTGACTTATTTCACTTATCATAAAGTCATTACATTTCATCCACCTTGTAGTATATGTCAGAACTTCCTATTTGCACCCACATATTCATTGCAGCATCACCCACAGTAGCTAAGATATGGAAGCATCAATCAGTGGCTGAATGTGTGAAGGAATTGTGGGACATAATACAATGGAATTAAACTTGGCCAGAAGAGAAGGAATTTTTAATTTGTAATACAATGGAAGAACTGGGAGGACAGTTTATTAGGTGCAATAAGCCTCAGAGGATGGAATGATGGTTACCAGGGTCTGGAGAGTAGGGAATATGAGGACATATTAATCAAGGGTACACATCAGACGAGCAGGTTTTAAACCAGGCATAGTGGAGCAGGTCTGTAATCCTAACACTTGGGAGGCTGAAGCAGAAGGATTTGCAGTAATCTCAGGGCTAGTCTGGGCGACACTGTGAGACTCTGACTCAAAAGACCTCCCATCTCCATAAGATTAGATGAATAGGTTTAGGAATCTAATGTACAATGTGGGTGATGGATGTGTTAATTTGATTGTAGTAATCATTATACTATATATATATCTAAATATCTGTTCATATTGCTTTCTTAAATGTTTACTTTTTATTAATACATGCAGTACTACATAAAGATTACATTTATTACTGGGAGTTGGTACATATGCATAACATATCTTAATTCTTTTTGCTAAAATTTTGGTGCAATAGACAAAGGAAAAAAGGCCTTTATTGCGGCAAGAGAGGGCTGCAGAAGAGACACAAGCACCCTTTGGGGAAAACAAAGAAGTAGAAGTATTTTGATCAGGTCTGGCTGGGTGGGGAATTTGGGAGGTGGATAAAATGGCATATCAACAGCTGATTTGAAGGAGCATCTGCATGTGCAAAACAGAAAACAGATTCACTGGGGGCTGAGGGAGTGTTTGGGTGGTTGTAGAGTCTTGGGATTAGAGAGGTCTTGGTGCACGTGTGAAATGTTTTAGAAGTCTGAATTAGCCTCTTGAGGTCAGGCATAGACCTGCCCCAGTTTTCTGTTGTGACTAATCCAGGTATCCCTGACAGTCATGCAAAATTCTGTTCCATAATCAGATAATACAAGCCAGTTCCATTTCTGTTGTAAGTAGAGAAAAGCAAGTGTTCTTGCCCCTGGCATACAGCTGCTTCCAGGTACTGAAATATATCCTAAAAATATATCAAAACTTCAAGCTAGTATTGATTGAGACAAACTGTGACACTGTGAATGACACAATAATTCAACCATTATCACGACTATTTTGCAAGTGCAGCAGTCTTAGACACAGTCATATCTAACCACCTTGGCTTGAAACAACTTGGACAAAAATGAGAAAATTTGTACCACATAAAACAAACCAATTTATTTAAATTTTTGCTTGAATTTTATTAATATAACCAGAACTAGTGAATGCAAATTTGTTTATAGGCATGACAAAGCTTTAAGAAGCTTTTGGAGAACGTGTCTTAATTAGTAATTTTGTAGCTGTTCACTTTTCAGTGGACTATATATACTAAATAACTTTTGTTTTTACATTGAATTTTGACAGTAGAAATGTTATCACAATCTTCTCATTTTGCCAAAAAAATTTTTTTTGGTTTATTTGTTTGTTTGTTTTAAATGGAGGAAAGATTTATATAGCTTACAGTTTGTAGAGTTTCAGTCCATAATTGGTGGGCTCCAAGACACATGGCAGAGAGATAACAGTTCATGGCAGTGGAAGATAGCAAAAGCAGTAAGAGAGCACGAGAGAGCATCTTTCTGTCCCTTATATTGTATGCAGGATACCTGTGCTAGCTTGGGTGTAGTACTCACATTCTTAATCTCAGCATTGTACTACAAATAAATCCACACTCTAGAGTTAGCTACCTCCAAAAAAAGCCCCATTGAAAAGTGCATGAGGCTTTGGGGGGATATCTAAACATAAACTGTAACATTCTGCCCTTTGTACCCCCAACACTTGTATACATTTCTTTATGCAAAAGGCATTTAGTTTCCAAAGTCCTAACACTTTCAGCATTGCTGAAAAGTTCAGGTTCAAAATCTCTGTGATTTAAGGCGAACTTTTAACTATGAGCCCCTGTACAGATGAAAAGCAAGTTAAACACTTTGAACATTCAGTGGCACCAGATAAATGTTTTTATTTCAAAAGTTACAAATTAGGGGATACAAAGGATTGGGACCTAAACAAATCCAAAATCCAGCAGGGCAGACATTATGTCCTGTAGTTCCATGTGCAGCATCTAAGGCAATCTGTGGCAAGTTGTGTAGAGAGGCCACACTGACTCCATTTTGTCCTGGACACATCCAGTTAACAATGTTATGGGAAAAAGTACAGGCCTTGATACATCGCCCCCACCCCAAGGTAAAAACATGAGGTCCTGTAAGGTCAAGAAGCAAACAAGTTATATAATCTGAGCATGCACAATTTGAGTTTCATTGTTCTTTATCTCAATAAAAGCTACTTGCTTAGGCTGGCTGGGTGGCAGCCATTTTGCTGATCCTCAGTGTGTGCAATCCTTTATTTTCCCTTTGCTTGCAGAACCTCACAAAGTTGTGAGCTCCAAAGGGTTTGGATGGCTCCACTCCTATGGCACTTCTGGTGGTAGTAGTTTCCATGACTTTTCTCTTAGGTCTGCTCTGCCCCTTCCTTGCAGGTTTCCTAAGATGATCCATGTTCCGGTGTTTTCCAAACTTCTGGGGTCTGTACTGCACCTTTTGCTTCACCCTAACAGCTTCACACCCTGCCTTCTCAGGGACATTGCATGGTCTCCCAGGCCTTCTGAAGTCAATGTAGGAGCCTTCTTAATCCCACAACTCTTGTATTCTGCATGCACCTAAAACCAGTACCACATGGATGAAGTCAAGGTCCATTGTCAGCTGGAACAGTAACCAGGCTTTCTTCTCGCTTGGTTGTAGGGGTCAAGTGCCTGAATCATAGCTACTCTGAATCCAGTTCTTAGGAACAAATTTTTTATGCTGCCAACATTATGGAACATGGTGCTCTGTGACTTTCTCCCTATAGCAAAGTATTTTACTTTTGCAGTTTTTAGGCTGCAAAGGGTGGAGGCTTGCTTCTTCTTGTGAAGCCTTCAGGCCATCTTTTATATTCTCCTGTTCCTTGGTCTCCTCAGGTTTATCTTTGTAGCCCACAGCTTTACTGGAGTTTGCTTTCTGGCCAAACTCAAAAACATTTTAAATCATTCTGCTAGGCTCTCTACTCTTGATTCTCAACATAAATTTGACTAAAAGCCCCAATAGTAGCCATGCCACTGTCTCTTAGACTAACTTGAAGTTTCTTCTACCAGATTAGTTAGTCTACTTTCCTTACTTTAGTCTCAGGCAAAGTCTCTGGTCATGAGCAAAATGCAGATAAATTTTCTGCCAAGCCATAATACACATTAACAACCAATGCAGTGCTTCCCAGTGGAAACCTCCGGATCCTGGTCTTTATTGGCCTTCTGCTATTCTAAGTGCTGAACAGAATCTCCTATATGAAACAGCCTAAGGTGTTTCAGCTCTGATTTTTTAGCTGGCATCTCTCAACCTTCCCAAACTGTTCCCACAAGCCATTCCCAAAAGCTTCTGAATCACGTCTTTGGATATAATCATAACAAGGACCCCACATCTCTGAAACCAAATTCTGTCTTAGTTACTTTTCTTATTGCTGAGACAAAATGCCTGATGCCCAAAGCTAAGGGAGGAAAGGTTTATTTGATTCAGAGTTTGTAGAGGTTTCAATCCATAATTGGCTGGCTCCAAGGCAGAGTGGCACAAGGCAGAGGGGCAATAATTCATGGAGCAGAAGACAGCAAAAGCAACAAGAAAGAGCCTGGTTTTGCAACATGTTATTGAATATCTCTAAAAGTGGCTCATTAATGAAGTTTTACCAAGTTCTGGGTTGGTCACTTCTCCTTCTGGAGTTAGACTCCAGGTACTTTCTTTCTCAAACAAAAATTGAATAAAATGAGCAAAAAGCAGGAACAAAGTTTATTTGAAAAGTAAAAGCAAAGAATGAGGGAAGGGTTGGGGATATAGCTCAATGGCACAGTGCCTACCTGGCAAGCATGTCATGAGTTTGATCCCCAGTACAAAAAAAAAAAAACAAAAACAAAAACCAAACAAACAAACAAAAAACAACCAATGAAAACTTGCTCTCTATAGCAAACTTGGGCCAAGTAAAAGAGGAAAAGGCAAGATAAAAAACACCC